CTTCCTCTCTCTTTCTCACTTCCGTATGCTAACATTCATCCATCCTAAAACAACTAATAAAAAAAAACCAGAGTAAAGACATAATGATTACTTTACAAACATCATCATGACTTTTCTTTTTTCTTTTCAACAAACATAATCATGATGCCGTTCACTTTTTTTTCTTTTGGTTTGTTTATTAGGAAAGTGATGGCCACTTGGCCACAATTCAACATTAGTAACATTATTTCCTAACCTATCCCCACAACTGTTGGCCTCAGCTCTACATGGAAACAGTACAGTTAATATATCAGCCCCATTTCATTTTTCCAGAAGTTATGGCCTAGAATTTTAACAGAAGCATAAGTCCCGTAAACAAGATCATGCATAAGGATGCAACGGCACACCAGGCCAGCACGAAATGCCGCCTTCTACAGAATGTCTGTCCTGTTTCTGCACACTCATGAGTACTTTGTATCTTCCTTTTTTGTTCCCCAGTTCTGGTAGCATCCTTAATGTTTATTGTGGTTATATGCTAAAAATTCATTTCACGTGTTATGCATACGGTTCATACATCCAATTACATGTCATGTTTACAACTCTCACGTACGTCCTAAATGACGTCTGCAGGTAAGAAGGATTACAGAAAGTGTGATGTTCCCTATGAGAGACTAATGATGCAGTTAGGAACAAAATAAGGTTAATATAACTTTATTAGCATATGAAGAAAGAGTTATGTGGTCCTACCACAGAAGATTGCCCTCTGAATATTCTCAACAATGTAGGTGGTGGCTGATTGTTGGGGACGGCCAGTGTACAGTCATAAATTGCTGGAATGAAAGAGCGCATATGGATTACCGATGAAACAAACCCCTGCAAGTACAGAAAAAATTCAGAAAAGAAAAAAATAGTGCAGCTAAAAACGTATAATGTGGCAAGGATGCATTGCTCTTTCTTTTAATTTAAGTAGGTCGCATATTAAGGATTCGGTCAGACTTCACTTCTAAATACAGTATATTTACCTTCGTCCGTGGAAGCAAGACGTTCCTAGGAATAGGCAACCCTCTAGAAGCTGCAAACTCTTGAGCTGCCATTAACTTTGCCTGCGTAAATCGTGTTCCTTCTACAAAGAGAGCCAACCAAAAAGGCATGGGGAAGTCCTCTAGTCTTCGAAAACCTGACTGTAGTGGAGAACCCATGAGTTATACCATGACAAAGAAGAAGACTGTGTCAACATATACATGTAAACAAATTTAAGGATACCTTCAATGTGCTTTCATCTTTTGTCCATCTTCTTTGCAAGAAGACATATTCAGAAAACCACATTGACCAACCGATGACCTGTGTGAATTTGCCATGTTATCAACCCTTACCGAAAGATTTATCACAATACAAATTAGATGATTGAGTAGAAAAAGGGCAATCTGAATGAGTTGGTAACAGTTGGAATGAGGAGAGTGACAAGAATTCAACTAAATAATCGAATAAAAAAATTAAGAAAGTTGATAAATCTTAGTTGGTGAAGCAAATAACTTAAGCTGGCATAATTAGTACTTCAGCAGAGATTCTGGTTTTCTTAATCCTGCTAATTACGGAAAGCGTAACTAAATACATACAACATAAATCCATCACTAACTTCAATAGGAACAGAAAGATACATGTTGAGTGAAAACTCACTGGGAGGAACATTATTTCTTTCTTTATGATGGCTAGTGCGCTACCAAGGCAACCTGAGCGCTGTTAGCAACACATTGATACCGATCAGTGAACTAGAAATAACACAATCGAAAAGATATAGGAGGTTAATAAATTTCTAACTCTGCCAACTTTACTTCAAATCTCATTTTCACTATAAGGGTGCGGTCTGAGGTGTTCTATACAACGTGAGATATTGTTTTCTGAAATTTTTTGTTGAGGTTAACAGTTGAAAAACAACAAAGTGGGGGAGGGAAGGTCGCAGACCCCATGATGGTAACTTGTTTTTCATGAAGTCAGAAAATTATATGCTTTTAAAATACCGTCAACAGTTAATATGCTTGTTTAACATCATACAAATGACTGCTAGAGATATATTTGGACAGATAAGCACCTGAGCTACAAGCCATCCGACAAGCCAATCAATGTCACTTTTGTGATTGGAAATGACAAGTGCATGTTCTTTACCTGAAAATTCCTCAAACAAGGAAACAGTCAGTCGACGCGAGAGATTTGTAAATGTAAACAAAGTTCAACTTCTCTTTCTTTTGCCATCAAAATCTTAAATCCCTCTCTTCGACTGAAAGAATTCTGGCATACAACCAATTAATAATTGTCACCTCACCCATTAATTGAAAAGTTTTTGAATCTACATACAACTCAACCTGCAGAAGAAGTTCCAACTAGTTAGACCGTGATATAAGATTGAAAGGTCAGCACGGAGAAATGTAGCAACGAGTATGTTTCTTCTGCATATATGGCAATCCAAGGCAACTTGAAGTATGCAAAAAGAAAAACCATCAGAATATAGAACATGGTTTTCAAAGTAGATTTTGCATCATGGTGTACGTTAGTTTCCTCCTTCGCTGCTCATTTTGAAGCTTCAATAAATATTTAGCTTTTGCAGAACCAAAAAGATTTAGATTTTCATACAATCATTTAATTTGTCTATTCATACAATCACACTCTTCCAATAACTCAACAACCCCTACAAATTGTAAGCATGCTAAAATTTTGAGATTATCAATTTGTCCCAAGATGTGTATGTATTGGTTGATCAATCATATAGATCCTACCACTGTGCATTTATCTCGAAAAAGCTACGACTGCTAAAAGATAGGTCTGCGATAATATTGTTGAGCAAATGAGACGTAAAGGCATAAATATGAACAACTTTAAGAAAGAAGCATGCCTTGATTCCTGCCCACCAATCAATGAGCCATATGAGCTCCAACCACAGCAATTCTGCTACTAGTTTGTTGATCTTTCTATACATTCTCTTTGATACAGGACGAACAAGGAGGAAGCACACTATCTGCAAGCACATATTGAATAATCAAAGGAAAATACCATTAATTAGTATAGTGAGGTAAACCCATGTTCGAAGCCACTGGATGAAATGGAACGATCTATAGGACGTAAAAGCATAGAGCATGTAAGTAAACGATATGTTGGTCGGAACCTCGAATTCCTTTGCATGAAATAGAGTCATTGAATTACCACAAATTCTCATCATTCACATCATGCGTTCTGGCATATATTAGGTTTCAAAAATCTCAACATTCTCCATAACATGCAATTGGATCATTCAATTTCCATGCAACGATCAAAATGGAGGACAACTTTTGTTTTCCTTAAAAGTGAAGCAAGTTTTATGTAGTTAATGTCATCAGACGGGTCTGCGTATGTACCTGCATGAGATTAACAATGAGGCCAGAGAGAATGAAGAGAACGCCGACAGGTAAGATGGCAACTACAGCTGGGATGGCCATGGAATGTGAGGCGGCGCCGGCAGCGGCGGTTTTGGCTTTGAATTTGGAGACAAAGAGACACAGATTCAACGGGGGACAGAGAGGAGACCTTTTTGGGGTCATAACGAAACAAGAACACGGCGTGAGACGCGAACTGGAAGCCGCTTCAAACGCTCCATGTCGTTACACAATTACAAAGGAACCATTATTATATGAAGCGCATGCATTTTGGCATTTTCTAATCTAGTCACTTTTCTTTTTCCGGCAAAAATAAAATACAAATCTAATCACGTTTCTAAAGGGAGAATGCCTTACATGAAACGATTCACCACTGCATGATGTCCTGATTCAATAAAACAATACATCTGTCATGTAGGATAAAATTCATGCTATTTTAAGGGCTGGATAATTAAAGGGAGGATACATTTAATCAAGAAAAGTGATTGAAAAATTGGTAATACACGGGCTAAAAGTTATTTTTTAGCATATCCCAGAGATGGATGTTTTGGACTTTTTGGGTTGTTCACATTAACGCAACTTTTATTTTGAATATCAGTTTTGGGCCTATTACAAGACTTGTTGCAATAAGCCTAGTCAGAATTCGGCCAAATTGCAACTTTTACCAGTCCAAAACATCCACTTTGAAGAGATGCTGGCAACAAATAACCTTTTAACCCGTAATTACCAGTTCTCCAATCACTTTTCTTGATTAAATGCAACCTCCTTCTTTTAATTTTCCCGAGCCCAAAATAATACCAATTTTGTCCTAAGTAACTTTCATTTGACATGTCAATTTTGGGCCGATTATATATAGATACGAGGAAAACGACCAGTCCAAAACGAAATTTTAGTATTTTAGGATCTATTTTATATTTTGTTATTTTTTTCCCGCTATTTGGATACCTAGAGTTTTAGGGTTAAGTACATTACAAATAGGTCACCTTGCCTTTAGGTTGTAATCCTATCATATTATTAATCAAAGTTAAAGAACTTTTCTCAATTTTATAGTGTTCCAGAAATTAAAGGGTGACCATTCCTGATCTCTCGTGTCTATAATTTATTACGTGTCAATATGTAAATTTCTCATGTGTCTTTGTATTATTAAATTTGGACGTCACATGATGATAAACATGTTTCATGTAAGTTGTTTTTCCTTTTAAGAAAAAGTGACCTGGAGACCTAAAAATAATTATAAAAAAATCCCTAACTCCAGCCCTCTCACTTCATTTCATTCTTCTTTGTGTATCATCGCTTGAATGAAATATATAATCACAATAAAAAGAGAAAAATATTATTTAACTTTTTATCAATCATGATCAGAAATGAGAGGTCATATATTTATTTCTCACCAAACATAATAGGGAGTTTTAACGAAATACTTCCGGTACTATTCATATTTAACGAAACATCATATTTTTACTTTTTCTTGTTACTATTCACTACACCTTTATTTATCATTTCCTGTTAAAACTAAAGGTTTTTTAGACTTTTTCGTTAGTTTCTTAGATAATATCATTCTTTCAAAAAACAAAAACAAAAAAATAAAAGTAAATTCTCCATCCTTTTCGTGGGCTAGAAAGGGGTTCTGTTTTCAGAGGGGGAAGCAAAAACACGCTGTCGCCAAAGCTGTTATTCCCGGGTGCTGCTGGTTCCTTCTTTGTTCCCGATACCGGTAGAAAAATGATGAGCGCTCAGCCTCAGCCGCCGAGTAGTATGATGGCGGCGGCTCCTACCACGTCTTCTCAGGGGTACCAGCATCATCATCAGCCAACTTCAGTGGAGGAGGTCAGAACCCTCTGGATTGGGGATTTACAGTATTGGGTGGACGAAAACTACCTCAATACCTGCTTTGCTCACACCGGCGAGGTCTCTCCCTCCCCCTCTCTCTTCATGTGTATACTATCTGTTAGGGTTTTGCTTGGAAATTTTGTGTTTAATAATCATTATTCACTTGGAAGAAAAATGGGTATTTCGCGTTTTGCTTGTTGTTATGTGTTGTTTGGGGTTGCCTGGAATTGCTTTCTTCTAGGGGTTGATTATATTTTTTGGAGTATATAAGTATATATATGTGTTACAATTACAGACTGGACTGATGGAGGACATGTCTTTGGTTCAAAAGTTGTTTGCTAGGTTATTGATAAACCATGGATTTTGTGAATATGTATTTCGGGCTTTGTGAATACATATTTCGGGCTAATATATAGGTATAGGGTGGGGCATTGAGTCTACGAGAAACGGAAATTTATCGTCTTTGTAGCGGACTATTGTTGTTTTGTTAGCTGAAGTGATGAGGGTGGGTGAGGAAAAGTGTTTGGATTAGGCTGGGTGAAGGGTTCGATTCCCTTCCGTTGTAACCCAAACTAGGGAAAGAAAAAAAAAATTAGGGAACTGACATTTTTTCAGTGAGGATGAGGATATGTTGCATGTTGTCGCTTTGTAATTGGAAATTAAGTTGGTGTAGAGCCCATGGCTGGTGTCTAAATGATTATCAAATCATGTGTGATTGGAGTCTTGTGATCACTAGATGGTTAATAGTCCATTTTTTGAAAAGGCCAAGTGAAATTGCCAATATGATTTCGACGGTTCTATTCAGTTTACGAGATTAAACTTTGTGGTTATTCTAGAAGAGTTAAGAGAGCAAGCCACACTTCTGATATTTAACATTTTGGCAATTGTTTCTCGATCCCTTTCATGCAATTTGAAGGGCCAAGGTACCTCCCAAGGTATGGGTGTTTGCTTGGATCATAGCTCATGGGGGATATGTACTTGTAAATACGGTAAAGAGGAAACGGCCTTGGTGGTGTTCATTGTTCTATTGTTTTGATCCTTTGATCTTGTGGAGAAAACTGTTTAGGGAGGCCCATTCAAGCTTGTGACTCCAGCTTCTTGCGTTGCTTTATTGTGTTAGAGGTATAATTTTTTATGGAAAAAAGATGGGCACGATGTTAGGGAAATGTCGGTCCTCGGAAATATTTTTGGGGTGTGGATGGAGAGGAATAGAAGGAATTTTTGGGAGTAAGAGAGGAGGAGGCTAAACCTTCAATGGGATAGACTTCGTTTTTGGCCTTCCCCTTCAGCATCGGTAGCTTCAGAGTTTAGTGATAGTTCTTTTCAGGCTATATTGGTTGAAATTCTGTGGTACACTAGTTTTGGATTCTGTTTAAATTTGTTTGAATGAAATAATAGAGTCTGATGATAGGGTGATGGAAGTGGATATTTTATATTAAAGAATTTAGTTTTGCGGGTCTCAACATAGCTGGACATCTCATCCATCATTGGTTGTATTTTTTTTTTCTTTATATTGCTTAATGAAATTTTTTGTGTCCCAGACTCCCATCCACAAAAGAAAACAAAGCAAGCTTGATAGGTGGCTTAATTTAAAGTTTAAACTAAGCATGCAATTCTATAACAGTGTGCTATTTTTTACTGTTAGATGATTACTTTATGCAGGTGATTTCAATAAAGATAATACGTAATAAAATCACTGGCCAGCCGGAGGGTTATGGGTTTGTGGAATTTGTTTCTCATGCTGCAGCGGAAAGGGTTCTGCATGCTTACAATGGGACACAAATGCCTGGAACTGAACAAACTTTTAGGCTAAACTGGGCTTCCTTTGGTATTGGGGAAAGACGTCCTGATGCTGGGCCTGAGCACTCTATTTTTGTAGGCGATTTAGCCCCTGATGTTACAGATTATATGCTGCAAGAAACCTTTCGAACTAATTATCCATCAGTTAGAGGTGCCAAGGTTGTGACTGATCCTAACACTGGACGCCCAAAGGGATATGGGTTTGTCAAGTTTGCTGATGAGACTGAAAGGAACCGAGCTATGTCAGAAATGAATGGTCAGTATTGCTCAAGTAGACCGATGCGTATCAGTGCAGCAACACCGAAGAAAACCACTGGTTTTCAGCAACAATATGCTGCCGCAAAAGGTAAGATCATATCATAATCTGGTATAGCAATAAATTCAAGTTGTGGACAGGATGTGCTCCTATTTGTCTTCATAGCTTACGTTGCCTCCACAATGCTCTCTTGAAAAAAGTCTAGTTAACCTGACTCAATGCACTTACCTGTGGATTTTTCTGGCAGCGGTATATCCTGTCCCAGCATACACTACACCAGCAGTTCCCGTGCTTCCTACAGCAGATTATGACGTAAACAACACCACTGTAAGTGTGACATGCTTAACTTTATTACTTTATTTCGTTTTTGTGTCTAATATATTACTCTTACGACCTACACGATTATGTCCAATGCAGATTTTTGTTGGTAACTTGGATCCTAATGTGGCGGAGGATGAACTCAAGCAAACTTTTATGCAGTTTGGAGATATTTTCTATGTCAAGATTCCTGTCGGCAAAGGATGTGGTTTTGTACAGTTTGGGACAAGGTTCGTTTAGCATTTAGGCCTTCCCTTGATTGTTCCATTTTCTTAAGAAATGGTTTGCCCTCCATCTTGGCCCCTCCTACTGATTTCCAAATACATGGCTAAATAGAGTTAGACTGTTGGTTTATTTAGGCTAGCCCTTGTCGAGTTTCTCCTTTGCTTGAACAAACGGCATCGCATAAGTATGCAGGAAAGAGGCAAAAGAATGTTGCAATGTCTTTGTCTGGCCATCCAACTTCCCGAAGAAAGACAAAATGTTAGTTTTTGTTGTTTATTGGTTTCACTTCTGTCCATACAGGGCATCTGCTGAAGAAGCTATCCAAAGGATGCAGGGAAAGATGATCGGTCAACAAGTAGTCCGTATTTCTTGGGGCAGGAGCCCAACAGCTAAACAGGTGATTTATTTTTTGCATGATATCGTTTTTCTCTATTTATTTCTTCTTTCCTTGATGTACAATGCATGGAAGAGAACTCGAGTTTATTACATCCACTTACAGATGCATAAAAGAGACATTTATAGTTGCAAGCATAACATGAAAAACTGCCTCATTTTAGGACGTACCTGGTACCTGGGGTCAGCAAGCAGATCCAAACCAATGGGCTGCATATTATGGTTATGGACAAGGCTACGATGCCTATGCTTACGGGGCGGCGACTCCTGATCCATCATTATATGCATATGGTGCATATGCTGGCTATGGCCAATATCCTCAACAGGCTAGTCTATAAATTCAGTTTTGCATGTATCCTGTTATCTGTTATTGTTTCTTTAAAGACCTTTCAACTTGTAGTCTTTCCATATTGTTCAGCTAAGCAAGCTAGTACTGGAGTACTTCATCTACAACTGGGACTAGGAATTGACGTGCTAGTTTAACGATTGCAACTTGTTTGCTTTTCTGAGTATATTTTTGGATGTTCTGTTTTCAGGTTGAAGGTCAAGATGCTGCAACTGCGGGAGGTGCTATCCCATCTGTTGAACAGAGAGAAGAGTTGGATGATCCCTTGGCTACACCGGACGTTGATAAGTACATCTGCTCACCTTTTCTGTTAATGCAACATCTTTTAACTGAATTATAATTAGTAAATTAAAGTTGAACGAGTTAATATATAAACATATATGTTGTCGATTTTAATCTTTTAACCATGTGAAAAGGTCATTGTATTAACTATTAACCATTATGGAAATATTCATAAACTGTTAAAAAAAATGGCCTCGCATGACATGCATTGCTTCTGTTGAAATGCAGACATTTTTTTTTTTTTTTATTACATTACTTGCATTAATGGTTCTTCTAAGGCAAAAGAACCGAACAAAAACTCCCTACTTTCAATGACCGAAGTTATGAATTGTCATATTAGATTCTCTTGGCACCATTTGCACACAGAGGAAACCAATATATTTTTATACATAACTGTGTATTGACTTGTTCTCTTCTCTTGGTTGATTTCTAGGTTAAATGCAGCTTACCTCGCCCGCCACGAAAGGGCCATCTTATGCCGGCCTTTGTGGCTGAGAACATCATCATTTACGCAGCAAGCTTAGCCATGTTTCGCATAATGTTTGGTTCCAAGAGAAGAAGCGATCAGGATATGGCTCGCCTTTATAAACAATGGAGCGAAACCGAGGCCGGGAAGAGTACAGTGGTGCACTCCGCTTTGATCCAGTACTCCGTAGGATCTAATCATATGGTGGCGATATGGATGTCAATATGAAATTGTGTTACGTTGAGACCTGGTGCTTATGGCATAGGTTTAGGTTGTCTCTGAGATTTATGGGACCTTTTTTTCCTTGCTTCAAGTTTTTTGAATTATCAAACATATTGCATCTATATCCTCATGAACTAGGTCGATTGTTAAGTTTAAAACGGTATAAAGACAGATTTTTTTATTTTGTTTTTCTTATTATATATATTTTTGAGGAAAAAGGGATTAACTTGGCTAATCGAGATTAGGAGTACCTTTTAAAAGTACCTTGTGATCAATTCACGGAATTTCGTACTTATGATCATAACTGTTAATATTATAAATCATGTTGGTAAAGATTGTTTTGCCAAAAAATCAATAAGATATGAGATCGCTTAGCTATGAAACTGTATAAAAACATATTAACGAATTTGGTAAAAGCATTATCACTGTCTACCTATTTGCTACGGTGTACTTTGGTTTTAATTAATTTTATACAGAGATGATCTTAAGAAAGTAATTTATGCTATGAACGGTTTTGATTATATTTACAAAGTTGAGAATCTGTCACGAGATGTTTTTAGAAGAAACTCCTCAACCTTGAGGAGCCAAACATTATTATTACAAAAACTTTCTAAATTTGAAAGAAAAAACAACTCAAAGCACTACTAAAAAAAAATATGATCAATTGATTTTGATTGCTATTATTGTCAATATTTGATTGTTATGTTGTTAATTTTTATTGCTATGTGGTTGGATTTGATTATGACCAATTAAACAATTGAGATTTGATTTATGATTATTTTAGTTGATATATATCATCATTATTTAATTAATATATTGCCGATATTTAATTACGATCCGTTAACATTAGAGATATAATTTTTAGTTAGGAAAATTTTATTTGAACTCATATAACTTCTTTCTATGCCCAATTTACTCTTTACACCCTCATTATTTTCAATTAAACAATCAATATCTCTTTAAACCCAACTTTACAACTTAAACTACCCTTACAAACCCAATTCAATATAGGCTTTTTAGCCAAAATGATCCATGAAATTTGCATAACTCCTCATTTTGGTCCCTAAGATTTGAAATCAATAGAATTGGTTCCTGAGTTTGTCCACAATTAATTATTTTGGTCATTTCATGAAAAATCTCCATAAAATAAAGATAAAATGACAAAAATACCCTCAATTTTGGCCTATTGTTTATTAAATTGAGGGTAATTTGGTCATTTTGATCCTTATTTAACATAATTTTTCATCCAATGACCAAAATGATTGATAGTGAACAATGTCAAGGACCACTTCTATGGATTTCAAATATTAGGAACTAAAGAGAGGAGTTATGCAAATCTTAGAGATCATTTTGGCTAAACAGCCTTCAACCTTCAATATATATGTTAACTTATCTTTACACCCATTTAAAAAATTAACTAAAAAATCAAAATCAAAGCATTCTCTCCTCTAACGTTCTCTCCTTCCAACATTTGTTTTTGATGGAGTCTTCATCATCCTCTACAATGTTGCTTGATAATCTGTGGTTGCCTTGCTCGATGATGCATGTTGCATATGAATTTGAGTTTTTTATGTTTTAGATGATTTAAAGACTTTTATAAGTTATAACCTATAAGCACATATAGGTTATAGGTGAAATGACAGGAAGTCCTTTGTTTCCTTTTTCCCTTTTCTTGTAATAAGTAATGTTCTTTGGGGAATAAAATTGCAAAGTAAAACTAAGACAAAGGTGAAATGAAAAAATTTAAATCGAGGGACAAACGAAAATTGGAAAATATAAACGTTGATATATATATAAATTTGTTTATTGGCTTTTTCAATTTTAGAAGAACATGCAAAGAAAGTTAACCAAAAGAAGGCGGTGCAATGAAGAGAGTGAGAGTGGTGGTGTAATGAAGAGAGTTAGAATGGTGGTGAATTGAAGAATCAAATGAAAAGTTGGGAAGAATGCAAAAACAATGAAACAAGCTGTTGTTATCCAATAAAAGAAAGGAAAACTAATGAAAAGGGCTTGAAAACTTTGAGTTTTAATGATAAGGACAAAATAAAGGGTAACGTGAATAGTACCAGGATTGACTTTTTAGTGTAAAAATGTGGTTTTTCGTTAAAGTGAACAGTACCGGGTGGTTTTCGTTAAAGTTCCCATAAAAGAAAGCATGATGTCATGATTATGTTATGTAAATTAAGTAGAAGCCTTGGTAAATAGTGTCCAAAATGAACATGAAAAGACTTGGGAAACTTGTACAACCCACAACAATCATAACGTTAGTATATGACATATAAACCAATAATTCAACTCTTACATAAACCGATTCATGTCTTAGTTAGAGGATCCAAAACTTCAAAATTAACGTTTATCCGACAAAAAGAGCTTGTTTTTCTCTATGAGAGCGTCTTAGGATTTTTTGACACACCCCAACCCGGGTTGTCCACTAGGACTCTGAATCGAGCTGTGTTGGCCGACACCTGGAGGGTGACGAAGCCATAAAGTATGATGATGTGGAAAAAAAATGTGAAAAAGTTTAAACCTAAGAGTGCCTAAATACCAGAATGCGCTAGTGAGAGGGAATGAACCCACTTCACACGTGACGTTAGAGCATAAGCAAGTACAGTAGAGTGAATTGAGAATCGTACCCTCGAAATAATCTCCAATATTAAGAATCGTCACGAATCTTCGACGATAAGAAAGCTCAATTAACAAAACTTGGAGGGCAAAAACAAGACAATGGTGAGTGGCCCTGAAAATAAAATTTTAATAGAAGCCATATAAAACATTATAACTCCTCGCTATAATACCTATATAATTTCCAGAAAAATCATAAATATACCATAACACAGCATCTCATCAGCAATATCAATAATCATGTGATTAATAACCCATACTAGCACGCAAGTCAGAGTCACCTATAGTGACATGTACGACTTATCCATATCTCATCACATATGCTGGCTCATCACATATCTCATCACATATGCTAGCTCATAAGTCGGAGTCACCTCTAGTGACCTGTACGACTTATCCATATCTCATCATATATGCTAGCCCATCACATATTTCATCACATATGCTAGCTCATAAGTCGGAGTCACCTCTAGTGACCTGTACAACTTATCCATAGCTCAATAAGTATACCTGCACACAAGTCGGAATCACCTAAAGTGGTCTGTACGATAGGACTGGGTGTAAATAAATACGCTCAAGTGCTACGATCACATGAAGACTGTGCGAATAATCGCGGGTCACCTACGAGTCGGAACCACCTATAGTGGTCTGTACGACAGGATTGTGCACCTACCTTGGATCCAAAATGAGCGTAAGGTGCGGGAGGTGAACATCACGTGAAGGACTGTGCCCTGGCCACAGACGGGAGCACTAACACCGGGATGCAAGTTTATGAGCTCTAACTGTCTCTATTGTATCATATATAATTCATAGGCAACCTGTACGACAGTGTCGTAGTTGCCTATCATTGCAACCTATACAACAAGGTCGGAGTTGCCTAAACATACATGTAGGCATACCATAACCCCATCATTTCAACTAATACCATAAACTCACCTGAACTTACCTAGGTGTCCTGCGTTCACCTTCGCACTTCAAAGCGTTCATAATAATTATGTGTAGGTAATATACATATAGATAAACCATGATGAAATCTAATACTCAACCATGTTATAACATTTCCAATTATATATATATATATATATAATGTGGCATAAAATGCATAAGTTGTAACGCCCTACTCCTGAATTATTCATTTTCGGAAATAATTATCGGTGGCAAGCTCAACTAAACATTAATTTAACTAACTATCAATATTTATGATTCTTTACTTCAATTTCTCGATCCTTCACATAATGATTTATAACCAACATCCCATCACTAAATCTGTTTGTACCATACTTGACCAATCCCGAAACTACTGATCACCGGTCAACGTTATATTGTCAAGGACTCAGAAGAGTTTCCCTCCAACCAGGAGGCCAATCACATGCGACATGTGTCGACATCAGAAGCCAATCATAGCGCGACACCTGTCAACATCAGAAGCCAATCACAACACGACACGTGTTATTGTCAGAATGAAACTAGAAACTCTCTTTTATAAATAGAGATCATTCTCTCACAATATTTCCTAATGTCATTTGTACTAAATCATTCACTTGTACTCACTAAAGGAGAGCTTGAACCTATGTACTTGTGTAAACCCTTCACAATTAATGAGAACTCATCTACTTCGTGGACGTAGCCAGTCTGGGTGAACCACGTACATCTTGTGTTTGCTTCCCTATCTCTATCAATTTACATACTTATCCATACTAGTGACCGGAGCAATCTAGCGAAGGTCACAAACTTAACATTTTCTGTTGTACCAAAGTCTTCACTGATTTTGTGCATCAACATTTGGCGCCGTCTGTGGGAACGACACTTATTCCCATTCTCTTCAGCTTTGTCAAGCTGATTTCCACCATTCGTACACTCTCTTTCGACCAGGCATCCCTCTCCAACATAGGGAGCGAAGGAAGCCACATCACACAGAATGACACCCCTCTTGTACCTAGTGCAAAGCAACGAAAGAAGGAAGGAAAAAGGTTTGCTCTTCAAGCTAAAGTCGATGAGCTAGAAGCTCAGAACAACAAGATAGCAATGAAGAATGAGGTCCTCCAAGAGCAGTATGAGAAACTCTTTGAGACACTCCATGAAACAAGGCGTACTCAAACACACGAGCTCGTTACCCCTGTGGACATCAACCATCATCTGGGTGCCCTCCAACATGGAGGGTCACCTTCCTTCGACATGGGTATCCCTGATGAAGAGCGAGCTAATCATCAAAACATTGATCAACATGAGACATCTCACAACCCAGTTGCTTCGACCCAAAGCAGGAGAAGTGGAGGAAGACACATCCTTGCAGAAGGGTTGGAAGGATCGAAAGCCGTTTATCGTGACTGCCAAGACTTCCTAAAGCAACGTCGAGAGAATCCCCTCCACATATGCTCGAAGATCAATGACCCAAGGGTTCCTGAAAGACTCGATCCCCTCCCACGACCTAGGCTAGCTGCCAATCTAGGGAAGGAACGATAGGTCCTAGAGGAACATGAAGGTACATGGGACTCTGAGGTATTCCGACAGACTCACCCTAGAAGTCAGTACGGCGAGTCCAAGGAAAAATCACACGCCTTTGCTCAAACTTTACTACTT